AAGCAGGCCCGGCCCCTGCCGAACGGAGTTGCCGGCGGAGCGAAGCGGAGCTGGCAACTTCGTTTGGCGGAAGGGCGGGCCTGCTTGTTTAAAATTCCATCAGGGACATAGGTATGGCGTTCGCAGCTTTATTTCCAACTAGCGCTGCAGACTTGTATATAGAGAGACCGCACCGTCTCACCCCAAAGCAGTACTTCAAATTTCTTCTAGAATATAAAGATGGCCGCTTTGCAAATGATCCCCATTCCGGTTCTTTGCCTCCAACACCGTCATGCGCCACGAAGCATTACCTGCAGGCAGCATTTACGTGAGAAGAAACGAGGACCTCCGTGGAAAGACCGTCAGGGACCTGCGTGAGGCCAGACAACGACCTAGCCTTGCGCGTGATATCATGTTCTACGGCAAGAAGCTGCATGGCACTCGCCAATGCTGGGGTGCACGCCTCAGCGAGGTCCTGGACATGATTAACCAGCTAGGGGTCCCGACCGGATCTTTTCCGCCTTATGCTTGAACAATACAACGCCAACCTCTCTGACGGTGAGCGTATTCTGCTAGAAGGGCTCACAGAAGAACAGAGGATAAATTTTATTGCAGACCAGCCGTACATCCCTAGTATGTTTTTAAAAAGAGGGCGGAGTACTTCATGGGGAAGTTTTTGAAGCTCATGTATCCTGTCAAGGATTTTTGGTGGCGCTTTTCATGACAATTTCATGGGTCGCCACACCTACACAGCCTCCTCTGGTTAGCAGACGCCCCTGACGTGACGAGGCTAAAGGAAATGACCCCTGAGGAATTTTTGCGACCGTCGTGGACTAGTTCCACAACATTGTGTCCGCGTGGAACGTCGGCCTAGGCCCTCCACCTGCTCAAGTACATCCCTGCCGCAAGCGCAACAAGGACGTCGCACCCGAGAACCGAACACGCCATCTCGGAGAGCTCTTGAATAGAGTCCAGCGCTACCTGCGCTGCATTGACCATAATTAGTCTATATTTAATTTATATTTTGACTAAATATATTGACCGATTATATTTAGTTTAAATAAGCAATAAATAACATTCATATATAAAGTAAATTTAAACGTGTTTTAAGGGGCAGCCATGCTTAAATACTTAGATGCTATTGTTTTCTTATTTAAATCATGGAATTTCTCTCCTTGTTTATTCAGATGAGTTTGATAAATTCTGGAAGTAGAAAATAAAAATGTGCTTACTATAACTAGAGTATAATTTATCATGTCTTAGTCCTACCCCAGCCTTGTGCTTTCACAAGGTTCAGCTATATTTACAGAAACCTGATAGAATTGCTTCAATTTGATTTTTCATTTTTTGCACACAACCATGCCCAAAAAACCGTCAAATACCAAGACCATGATTTCCGCTTAACTATTTAATTCCAGACATCAATTTAAATTTGTCTTATTGAGGAGCATTAATGTTTTGTAAACATCCAAATGGGTAATTAACACAAATTTACACTATTCCACATCAGCCTGCTTAATTCGCAGCTAGATAAAATATGTTTTCCATGACTTTCGTTTGTAGCCAACAACTGGATTCAGGGATAAAATTCTTGATAGAAGAGGTGTTTGACAGTTCAACCTTGTGCATATGGGTAACGCTCTAATTGTGCATTGAAGTTTAATTATAGACTTAAAGCCTGTGGTACACCCACCTTGGTTTGACAGCAAGCATTGGATGTGTAGGGATTACTGACTTATGCAAAACAATGGAAGGTAAAATGCTCAAGGGGCTACACTTAAAATATGCAACTTAAGATGGAGTTGTTCAGCAAATCTGCAGATAGGATAAAATAACTTTATGCTTTTATTTGCCAATGGAGGTACCAATATTCGACATTGTTCATAAGGGGCTTTCATCTCCCAAAAAGCATTTTGGGGAGGTTTGTCAATAAAATTAGTTTCTGGACCACTGTAAGTGTTGAGATGAAACCTGTACTTGGAGTAAAAATAAATAGGTTTACAAAGCTATTTGTGTTGTTCACTTTTATTTTTCAAAATTCAGTAAAACCCCTGTGTCAATCAGTAGACATTGATGAACTGGAACAAACAAGGTATATGGACCATATTTTTTTTATATCACCGACTTTTCCGGAGCAATCCTGCATGTTAACTTTAAAATAAGATATCCTGTAAAAATAGTACACACGTGTGACCTCTGTACAGTAAAGTTCTGGCCTTCTAATATTTATGTGATAATCTATCCCTGGTGATACTGATTCTAAAAAGCTATTGTCCAGATTTGTAGGTCAATTTTTGTTCGAGAAATCATGGGCGCAAACCTTTTAGCTAAAGAACTCAAAGCTCAGTATGATATGCGTTTTCTACCATAAGGATGAGTCAATCTGACCAATCGCATATTAATTTGGGGTAAAATACATATAGGCAAACTAGATTAGCAAAGTTATTGATCATCTTCAGCTATGAAGGTCCCGAAAGAATTTGTTTCCGAAAAAGTGCTCAAAACCTCTTTTTTTACCAACTGGCCCCCCAAAGAAGTATACCCTCACGTTTCATCTCAACACCCAGTGGTTCAGAAACTGAATTTATTGACAAATCTACAAAAAAATGCGTTTTGGGAGATAAAAGCCTACCTAAGTTTCAGGGGTGAGGAAGCCAACAGCTGTAGGGCAGTGAGTATTCCTTGGCAGCTAAATCATATCAGTTCACTTTCCAGCCCGGTATCACCTTTTCGTATGACCAGTCACTACATCTAGCTAACATGTTAGAATTGTGTGTTCCTCAGTATGCAAGGTCACGTAGAACTGAACGTGGCAGTGCTGGCCAAAAATGTGAAGTAGCTCTTGAATGAAATTAACTGCCGTAAACTGCTTGATTTTTGTTCTGTGTCATGGCGCCCTAACAAAAGCAGTCTCCCAAATAAAGGTAGGGTTGCAAAGGAAATAGAAAACAAAAGTTGTGAATTAGGGAACTTTTAATTAAAAAAATTGAGTGACAATTCACTATAAATACTCAAATTGTGGAGTAGCAAAAGTTCCTGTCCAACATTAAAAACATTTTAAAAAATTGTCATTCGGGTTTAGAAGGTAGCAAAACTCAAAAAAATTAAAAATATCTTGAACCCACAAATTCTAGAGCCATGATCTACAATGGAGAAGATAACTTTGAAAAACAATATAAAATAGAAATAAAGGTAAAAAAAATGAAATAACCCCTTAATCAATCAGAAATTAGAACAATTTTTCCCAGGTCCTAAACCGGAAACCGTCAAATGGGCAACCCTTCTTTTCAGATTTCAATCTGATGAGACATTCCTCGCAGAAGAGGTGTCGGCACCGAATCTTGCAGTTCTTAGGCCTGTCAAGGCAGATAGGACAGCGTCCCAGAGAAGGATCATCATCAGGCTTAGGCTGGCTGGCAGGTTCTTTTGGTGGCTCAACCTGACATTTCTTCTTGGGCATGATTTCTGGCAGCAAGAGGAGGACATAAGGAAAAACAAGGAATACCACAGATGAAGCATTAAAATGGGATTACAACTAGGCACATGCCTCGAGATGTTCCGCTCGTGTCACTAAGGAAGTGCTTATTTGGACCCTTCTGTTTGGTCTCCTTACACTTTTCCTTGGACTTCTGGCTTTTAAAAAAAGCTGCCATTTGTGACATGAAGTTGCCTTTGTCCGACTTCGCAAGCTTGCTGCTGAAAGATAAGTCTGCAAGAGAAATTAACTTGTCAAAGAATAGCCATCACACATCCTAATGCAGTCCAGCTGAAACACTAACTAAACTCAGAGGTTGAGCTAGATGAGTTTAACTTATTGCGAGCTGCTGCGCCGGCAGAATTAGTAAATCTGCCTGTGGACGTAGAGGGCCCAGAGGACAATTTCCTTCTAGCCCCAGTTGATGGAGATGGACCTGGCCCGGCCCGTCTGAAGAAAAGACCAGGATAAGAAAGGATCTAACCAGTGTTGGGCAGTATCTAGATAAAAGTATCTAGATACCGTATCTAGATACTTTTTTAGTATCTTTTATCAGTATCTAGATATTTTTTTGAAGCGTTATCTGCATCTGTATCTAGATAATTAATAGATATCTAGGGTATCTGAGATACCTAGAACAGCCAGATACTTTTTTTCCCACGCGAAGTGCATAACATCATTACAAGCTTGTCTCGACGCTGATGACGTCCGTTTTGCCGTAAGTCAAGCGGTTTTTGAGATACATAAAAATTTGGACAGTTTTAGGCCCAAATTAGTAAACAGAACGCGTCTTTTTGGTCGCCTCCGTTGTCTCCACGCGTTCACATTGCTGACGGCCGGTCCGGGGGGACTCGGGGCGATGCTGAGAATATCTTGAAATCGTTAAATCGCTTAGCGAGAAACAAACAGTCCCACTTTTAGGTAATTTTAGTATTTTGTAGCAAACATGAAAGATTCTTTGTGGCGTTATAGGAATGACTGGGAGGCCTCTGCTGCCTTCAGGACGGGTCAGGGTGGTGTGGAGAGCTGAGGTGGCCGAGCGAACGGCCCTGGAAGCTCAATCCTCGACATAGCGGCGCTAAATGGTCCAAATTTGCCAAAATTTAGCTAAAAACGTGTTTTTCCGCTTGCGAGACCCCTAAATTCATTGGCTGAGCGATTAGCGAAGCCTATTACTCCGTCTGGTCGGAAAAAACTTTTGCTGTCTGTCTGTCTGTCTGTCTGTCTGTGTATCTGTCCGCACGAAAACTCGAAAACGAATTGAGCGAGCGACCTGGGATTTTCAGGGTCGTTTTGTATCATAAAAAGACAGATCGAGTTCGAAGATGAGCATTCTAGCTCAAAAATTGGATTTTTAAAAAATCGAAAAAACAGTTCGCAAAAATGACGTTTGTTTTTAAAAATATTTTTTTTCTGGTTTCCTACGGGGTAACTCATCAAAGTAGAGCCCCATGGGCGAAAATTTTGTCCGTTTTGCTCTAGCTCCAACCGTTGAGGCGCTAGAGGGTATTTTTGACGAAAATAAGCGAAAAAATGTACAACCATGCATGCTTAGTCTGTAAGTGACGGGCTTGTCGGGCCGGAGGCCCGAATCTTTGAGTACATTTTTGCTCTACCCGACTCGGGTGTTAGCGCCGCAGGCCAAGGTAGATGTATGCCAGGCGCGTCGCAGCGTAACAGTGTTTCGTGAGGTATCGCGAAGCCTGTTACGCGAGACGTGGTCTGGCGTACATCTACCTTGTATTTGAAAAATCTGAAAAAAATTACAGCATTCTGAATGCCAAAAGACAATTATTAATGGGGTGGCCCGTCAATATTTTAATACTTTTGCTATAGGGGACAGTCTAACCCCCGCGGCCGCCGCCAGGTCCCAACCCACCCCAACAGCACGACGCCGACCTGGCAGCTCGGTGGCGCGTCCTCGCCAGCACCTGTGCGCTGTCCTCGCGGACACGCCCGCGGCCGCGCCGGGCGCGTTCCCTAAGGTCGTCGTCAGGTCCCGTGAGCACGACGCCGACTTAGCGGTGGGGGGGGGGGGGGGGTTTGCACCCGCGGCCTGTCCTTCTCACCTCACGCGTTGAAAGCCGTTAACTAATAGTGCGACTAATAAAACTCTGTGCAATTTTAAAGCCTTGCTTTTGTTTTCTAGAATAAGCCTGTATCTGAAGTGACGGCAATGGAGACGGAGATAAAGCGAATGGAAACGGAGGAGAGCAAGGCCAGCGCTGCCAAGAAGATCTCCACTACACCTTCTCCGACCATGGGAAACTTCCTTGGGCGACGGTCAGCTTGCGTGACACAGGCCGAGGTAAGCTACGACGCACTGCCCTGGGGCCACTGCCACGGCAGCGTCTGCGGGGAGGGGACCGCTGTCGGGTCGGGTGGGAGGGTTTTAGGCCAGGTAGTTCCCGACCTCCATTACTGTTGTTTTTTTTTAATCTGTTACAGGCGAATTCAGCGATTGCGGCCTATATTGTGCAAGAAATGGAGCCTGTGTCCAAGGTCGAGTCCGCGGGTTTGAAGAACCTGGTCAGCGTCCTCACAAAGGGAAATAGCATTCCAATCTACTGCCCAACAAGGAAGGGTATGAATAAAATGATCTCCGATACCTACGACGAGATGATGGCGAGCGTCAAGAAGGTATTGCATGAAGCACCTTACGTCAGTACCACGGCAGACATTTGGAGCAAGCGGAACCGTAGCTACATGGGGTTGACGGCCCATACAATACAATAGATACCACAACCCTAGCCCGAATTTCTTATGGAGTTGCCTGCAAAAGAATTAAATATTCCCATGACTTTAAAAATATTGCTACTGTTCTGCACGGCATCCACAAGGATTTAGGAATAGATAAGAAGGGTAAAATTGTTAAATGCATAACTGGTGATGCCTCAAATTTCGCTAAAGCCTTTCGCATATTCACTCTGACCGACGGCCTAGCAGGTAATTCGGAGCCGCAAGTTAATGATGAAGATGAGGACGAAATTATTTATCCAGACATAGACTTTATAGACGCTTTGTTCACGGCGGGCGATGAAATTGATTTCCTGTCCGACGACTTTGTAACTCTTCCCCCCAAAAGAGATGTTTCCCCCATACAATGAGCCTTATAATGACTACTGATGGCGATCTGAAGAATATATCTAATGCGGTTTACAAAAGACTCTACACTTCAGCTTTCAGTAAAGTAACCACATTTTGGAATACTGGAAGTAGAAGTACCAAGGCTTCAGACTATGTTGTGGACGTGGCGGGAGTAAAATTTCCTGTCCCGAATAAAACGCGTCGGAATGCATATCCGAACGCGATCTTAAAGCTCATTCAGAAAAAAGATATACTGGACAAGGTGTTTGACTCTATCAAAGTACCCAAGCTCAAACCTGTAGAAATCGAATTTTTGAATAGTACTTAAAAGTTATAGAACCTATTTCTACGGGTCTTGATGTCCTACAGGGGGACAAATATTGCTATTTTGGTTTAGCACTGCCAACCCTCCTTGTCATAAATAAAAATATGGAAGCTATGCGGAATTTAGTGCGTTGTCCCCCGCTTCACGCAAAAATACAGGAAGGCATCCAGAAAAGCTTCGGGCACCTACTAGACGTGAACAACGCGGCCTCAGAGGAATACTTTGTTGCTGCCATTGCGCTGCCTTAATTCAAGCTTCATTTTACAAGGTAGATGTACGCCAGACCACGTCTCGCGTAACAGGCTTCGCGATATCTCACGAAACACTGTTACGCTGCGACGCGCCTGGCATACATCTACCTTGGCCTGCGGCGCTAACACCCGAGTCGGGTAGAGCAAAAATGTACTCAAAGATTCGGGCCTCCGGCCCGACAACCCCGTCACTTAGACTAAGCATGCATGGTTGTACATTTTTTCGCTTATTTTCGTCAAAAATACCCTCTAGCGTCTAAATGGTTGGAGCTAGAGCAAAACGGACAAAATTTTCGCCCACAGGGCTCTACTTTGATGAGTTACCCTCGAGGAAACCAGCAAAAAAATATTTTTAAAAACAGTCATTTTTGGGACCTGTGGTTTTTGATTTTTTTAAAATCCAATTTTTGAGGTAGAATGCTCATCTTCGAACTCGATCTGTCTTTTTATGACACAAAACGACCCTGAAAATCCCAGGTCACTCACTCAATAGGATGTTCCGGGCTATCTAGAACGGAAGTGAAAAAGAACAAACTCACCGATTAATCTGTTTCCGTCTGCTCAGTATGAGAAATTGCCATGGTAGTTTGGCCCAATTCCAACCTCTCAAATATGGAGGCGAGCTCGAAACTGACCTGACGGTTTTTCATACCTGAAACGCCGTCGTGACACGTGATCAGCTCAACCAATCACAGCAATCACGGAAACAGAAAAGTCAGTAAGATTGTTCTTTTCCTACTTCCGTTTTGGATAGCCTGGAATACCCTATTCGTTCTCGAGTTATCGAGCGGACAGACAGACACACAGACACACAGACAGACAGACAGAAAAAGTTTTTTCCGACCAGACGGAGTAATAGGCTTCGCTAATCGCTCAGCCGATGAACTACGGGCCGTACTCGAGGGAAGAGATTGATTATGCGCGTAATCTGCATGAGAGGCGGCGCACCAAGAACTAGAAGATGAGGCAGACTCAGAAAGCCTCGCCAGTGTTGTGGAAGCCTCTAAAAAAGGGACAGGCAACGAGATGCCCACTCGTGTCGCCGAGTTTTTCAGTGAACTTCAGGTGTCTCCAGTAGCAATGGCGCAGAGGAGTGAAAATGCGGCTCGCCTCGAAGCCCTCACGTACTCCGAGGACAAAGATCAATCATACGAGATGCTCCACAAGTCGTCGTGTCCGTGCAACAACATCCTAACTGTTTCGCTCAGCCGCAAGACCATCCTATCTGTTTCGCTCAGCCGCAAAACCATCCTATCTGTTTCGGTATGCCGCAAGACCATCCTATCTAGCTCACAGCGCGTTCCGAGAAAACTGTGATTGAAAGTTTGAACCGAAATGACAAATCAGAGTGGCTATCTATAAACCAAAGAATGGTCTGGCAATATTCCTCATACATTTCTGTACTTGCCCATGTAAAATCCATGCGAAAGCGATGATCCGTTCTCTAGTTATCCTGGGTAAGGTACACGGAAGTGCGGGATATAACTATAGCCTGACGCAGGGGGTTTTCTTTGACCCACCCACCACAATACTAACTAGCTATATGTACGCCAGATCACGTCTCGCGTAACAGGCTTCGCGATATCTCAAGAAACACTGTTACGCTGCGACGCGCCTGGCGCACATATAGCTAGGCCTGCGGCGCTGACACCCGAGACGAGTTCAGGACAAGGTGTAGGGGGACAGGGCCTTCCAGGCCCTAAATTTGACATACTCGAACCATTTGTCGAGGTCTTATTACTCTAAAATGAGGAACATGAAACTTCTGCTGTGCGGTAACCTTTTTCATTAAAAGTTCGAATTTGGACAGATTGTTATGAAAAAAATCAACGTTTTTGGCTGAGCGATTAGCGAAGCCCATTACTCCACTGACCGGAAAAGTTTCATTCTGTTTGTTTGTTTGTCTGTTCGTCTGTCTGTCCGCACGATAACTCGAGAAAGAATTGAGAGAGCGATCTGGGAATTTCAGGGTCGTTTTGTATCATAATAAGCAGGCCCGCCCTTCCGCCTAACGAAGTTGCCAGCTCCGCTTCGCTCCGCCGGCAACTCCGTTCGGCAGGGGCCGGGCCTGCTTGGCCTGCCGGCGAAGATGGTCGGGCCTGCGGCCCGACCATTTCTGTCACGCGATTAACTGAAGAACATGACCGAATGATGTAGCGGGCCTTCGGCCCGCTTAGACCCGTCATCTTTGAGCTTGCCCCCAAAACTCGAGAAAAGGATGTAACGGTGAAGCACTGTGACTACAACCCACCCTTCTGCTTAGAAAACGTTTTTTGGGGGTGGGGGAAAAGTTTCCTTTCTATTTTGCTGTTTTTATGCCTTTTTCTACATCTTATTGTTCACTATGGCAATTTTTAGCTTATTTTCATCTAAAAAGACCCTCTAGCGCCTAAACGGTTAGAGATAGAGTAAAACGGACGAAATTTTCGCTCTAAGGGATCTACTTTGACGAGCTACCCCTTAGGAGACCATCCAATATTTTCGAAAATTAATAAATTTATTTTTGGGCCACTTTTGTGAGAGAAACTCACTCTAGCGCCCAAACGGTCAGAGGTAGAGCAAAAAAAAATTCCAACTTTTTTGGCCTTTCCTGTTTTCTTCGATACCCCCTTTCAGCCCCTTAGGGGTGGCTGACAGGATTTGCCGTAGGCATTTTGTTTTGTGGGAGTTAACCTTGAGATCCTCTTAAAATTTGAAGTCTCTAGCACATCTCCTTCTTGTGGAACAGACAGACAGACACACAGACAGACAGACACACAGACAGACACACACGAGGTCGTTTGCATAAGCCCGCTGGATAGCTTTTTCAAAGCAGAAGGGCGGGCTAAAAAGACAGAACGAGTTCGAAGATGAGCATTGTAGCTCAAAAATTGACTTTTTAAAAATCAAAAACCACAGGCAACAAAATATTTTTTTCCCAAATGTTTTGTTTATGGTCTCCTTCAGAGCAACCCGTGTAAAAAGCTTCCTATGGACGAAAATTTCGTCCGTTTTCCTCTATCTTGTACCGTTTGGGTGCCAGGGGACTTTTCTTGACAAAAATGAGTTGAAAATGACCCAATAGTCTATTAAATCGTTAAAGAAAATACTTAACATCGACAAATTGTAGATACACTTGTGTTAACTCGTCTCGGGTGTCAGCGCCGCAGGCCTAGCTATATGTGTGCCAGGCGCGTCGCAGCGGAACAGTGTTGCGTGAGATATCGCGAAGCCTGTTACGCGAGACGTGGTCTGGCGTACATATAGCTAGTGATTTCTTCGTGTGCATACGATTGTTCGTTAAAACTTCAGGGGCCGATTAACGCGCTAGCGTTAGAAGTTTTTCGCTTATTTTCATCAAAAACTTATTTTCGTCAAAAAATGCCCCCTAGCACCGAAACGGTACGAGATAGAGCAAAACGGAGGAAATTTTCCGTCGTAGGGCTCTACTGTGACGAGTTACCCCATAGGAACCCATTAAAAATATTTGAAACAAGCAGGCCCGCCCTTCCGCCAAACCGAGTAGCCAGCTCCACTTCGCTGCGCCGGCAACTCGGTTCGGCAGGGGCCGGGCC